AAAACTGGCACAATTTATACTGATTTTAGTAAAGCTTTTGTTAACCATGAACTCCTAATATATAAATTAAATTATATGGGTTTCAACACAAACTTAGTCGAATGGATATAATCTTACTTACAAGATAGATCACAACTAGTTGTGTTTGAAGGGCATCTATCCAAAACGATTAACGTTCCATCGGGTGTTCCGCAAGAAAGTCACCTTGGACCGGTCCTCTTTCTTTTATTTATCAACGATTTACCTGTTCCATAAATTACTCGAAATACTTTTTCAATGGTGTAGGTTAAATTGTATGGATTTAAATTTAAGCAAATGCAAGCATATGCGCTTCTCTAGATCTTCTTCTCTGATATTGCAATATAATAATGACGGTCATTCATTATCAACTGTAGATTCATTTGTCGATCTTGGCCTCTTGATGGATCCAAAATTAAATTTTAATAGCCATGTAATAACAATGGTCAAAAGTCAAAATAAATCCATATATAACAAAACAGTTATTTACGTCTCTTGTCAAACCTATTTTGGAATACCGTTATGCAATATACTCATATAAAATAGAATCCGTACAAAAACAATTCTGCTATTTGACTTACGAAGTTTACGTTGGAATAGTGATTTTGTTTTGCCTTCTTTTGCTAGCAGGCTAAGATTGATTAGATTGCCTACCCTTAAAAGCAGACGTATTATGTTAAACTGCATGTTTGTAATAATATTTAATGGTAATATGCCTTCAGATTTCCTAATCGCATCTATTAGAATTAATGTTCAGTATAGATCTAGTTGATACTACCAATATTTATATACTGATTTTCACCGCAGGAATTATTCAATGGCCGAACCTCTTAGTAAAATGTGTGTTGTCTTTAATTCTGTGTACTGTAATGTAGATTTTGGTATGGTAAGTTATTAAATGGTAAGTTATTGGTAAGTTATTAAATCTAAAATAAAATTATTCTATTTTTAAACAATAAAAATACATGTTTTATTATTTGATTTTTAATTCCCTACTAAATGATGCGGATCATGATGTGTACGCGATCCCTACGTAAAGGGAGGTCGCCTCCTCGGTCGGCAGGGGTGGGAATATGAGGCGTTCGAAAAAAAATATATATAGACCATAACACAGCACAGTGCAACCGAAAGTGTTGCAAGTGCTTCAATCAATATATATTACAAAAACTATTTTTTATTTGGCATACACCAGTTAGTGAAGAAAAAATTAATTTCAACATATTTTAGACTTCGATTGTTTGAAGATTTATTAATAAACGAAAAATATACAATTTAAAAAATTAACATTTTTTCATCAATTGCAAAAAAACATTAAAAATCCCCTTCGACGGTAGAGTTACATTTCTGAAACTTATATTTTTAAATACTTTTTTAATTAATTTTAAATAACATTAAAAATTAAATAAATATATGAATTACTTATCAGCAATTATTGTTAAGATATTAAACCATTTTCATTTGTTAAGATTTTAAACCATTGCCTTTACATATGTGTAAACTTGATTGTTCGACATTTCGAGCGCTAGCACCTATCTCCTAGTTAAATTTTTTGTATCAAATGTGACTTCCACAAAATAAACAAACATGAATTACATGAACAATCCTGGCTTAACATATGTGTAAACTTTACTGTTTGGAATCACGAAGGCTGTCCCTTATCCCTTATAGTTATTCCTGTGTATCAAATGTGACTCGCACTGGCTGTGACAATACCGTTAGTTATTTTATATCATATATTTCATATTTCAAGTTAACACAAAATTATGTGTCTATTGTGAGTTACATTAAAGAATTAATATTACTAAAATCGAACTCAAAGAACTCAACATCGTGGAAGCCCAAATGTGAATCCAAGTTATTTTAGAAAACCTTAATGGACAAAAAGAATTCAAAATAAATACAATTTTGACATAGCTCAAAAACCAGCTACAGACTGACCAAAAACTGAACTAAAAACTATATTTGCATATTTTAATGACGAAGTCTGTGATCATATTATTTAACAAACAAATGTATATGCGGGACAAAATAAAAACAACTTTAATTTGGATGAGGTGGTGCTTAAACGGTTCATTGGGATAATATTATCTGAATATCCCACTCTGTCATATGTTCCTGATTATTGGTCATCAAAGTCTTCAGATCTTAATGGTAAAAAAGATTACGACATTCTAAATTGGAAATTTATTTCATTTTATGTTTGGAACGAAAAGCTATCTATTGATGAACAAATTGTTCCATATTTTGGAAGACACAGCTGCACAATGTTCATGAGAGACAAGTCAATTCGATTTAGTTATAAAATATGGTGCATGTGATACAGGTAAAGCCTTTTTCAGATTCTTTTACATTATTTTAACTTAATAAATATTTACCTTGTGTACAGGTAATCTATTTTCATTTATACCATACTGTAGACCTGCAGATCACTGTGCACTAGAAGCTGATGTGGCAACTGGAAGTGCTCTTTCCAATTGAATGAATACGTGGAAATTAAATTACTTGATTGCAAAACAAAGAAACTAGAGTTCAAAATCTCTGTGACAGAAGCTCTTCTGTCGGCTGAACGAAAAGAAACAAACGATGATGCTGATGTCGCTAGTAAGGAATATTGCCAACATTGAGGGTAGTTGTCAATTGAAGCTTTGTGGAAATCCTACAATTTTTATGAGCGAAAATGTTTTAAATCAAAATATGAATAATTTTTTACAACTTCTATTTAAAATAATTCTTCTTATTTTTCGATTTACATCTATTAATAACGTCATTAATTTAGCTAACATAAGTGTTGCAACATTGCAACCCCAATATGAGTAAACTATGGATAATATTTAAGCTTTAATGTCGTAATGGTGACTAATCCGAAAAGGTGCGATGGTCATTTTAATTGTCAATTTGTCGAGCACCTCGATAGTGATAGGGCGAAGCGGATAAGAAAACCTTTTTGAACACTTATGAAGCGGGGTGTGATTAGCTCCGGGCTCCAGTGCGGTCTGCGAATTAGAGTGTAACGCATTAGAAAAGTATTCAAACCTATCAGAAAATTGCAACAGCTTGCCTACTCATGACTCCAGTGGACCAATTACATGAGGAAGGTTCTTTTCTTACGTCAGCATAAGCATATGTTTCTGTTGCAGTACCTGATTGGGTGTTACCGTGTGAGTCATCCTAACCATTTATTGGTGTACAGAACTCCCCCACCTAGGCGTGTTAGGAAGAATCTGTATTATCTAGAGAGAGAAACCCAACCATAAAAGAGAAAGGAAACCTATCAGGGAGGCCTGAATAGCATTCATACTAATGTAGTCGCCGATGTAGTTAACCATTGCAGTATGAGCGCCATCCTCGAAGTCCACCCCCACGAACCTCACGACAATTGTGAACATCAAACTTTCTATATTTTCATTGAATTTGCATAACATTCGTTCTACCTCCAATGGCAGGACATTGTCTATACAGATTTACTTATAACGTTTCCTGCAGATATTCGGTATTCTGATGATTTTAGACATATTTTTAAAAGGAATTGTTTAAAATTTGGCATTTATGATTTAAAATAGGCTCAACTTTTTGTTGAAGAACATTGTTCTACGTTTTCGTATAGTCCACACAAAACAGTAGCTCGGTATTTTGGCGATTAAGGCCACATTTTATCGGATTAATTAAAACTTTTTATTTATAGCTTGCAGTAAGTGCTACATTAGGTGGCAAAACATGTTTGGCAGTCCATGTTTTTCTTTAGCCTCCATATAACAGTACCTCCCAATTTTCGGTATTTTGCCATATATTTAAAAGACTTTGGTATTTGAAACTCGCAATATACAACAACAATAACTGTAAAAGTACTAAAAAGCAATAATACAACTTGTAATTAAGAGAAGGGATTGAGCTAAAGCCGTGACATTATGTTTTAAAAGTACGGTTAGGAGGTGGATGGATCTAGAAAGTTAAAATGTAATTAAATAAAGGGACAATATTGGAAATGCGCACTACATGTATACAAAAAGTACTAAATGATATTAAATTTGATATTGGGTTAACGAGAGGTTTGAGATTTTTAAGTGTACTTAAGTGTATTAAAGTACTTAATGGTATTAAACTTTTTATTTATGGAAGGCATAGAGTTGGATACAAAAAAATTTGGTATTGGGATAATTTTTTTATATACCTCGTACTGACCTGGTAGGATGTATTTCAGCTCTATCGACATAGAATTTTAATCTGATAAAATATTTTGTGGTTTTATAAAATGAATAGCAAAACCAATATGTCCCTATAGCATGGTGGAAATAGAGTAGCGTTAGGCTGAGCGATACCCACAATCATGAAGTGTAAATACCTCGTACGATGGTCTTCTAACAGGTGTAAAGAATTCAAATATATATCTAAATCAATAGGAATTCTAAGACCTTTAGAAATATAGATGATAGAAACATAAATTAGAAACATAAATAGAGCCAAGTGGCTGGAAATGTGATTAGGACCACTTTAAAATATGCCGGATCACATTTCTGTTTTGAAATTACTCAATCTGTAGGCCGAAATCATCAATAAAGATAGTATGTAAATAACGTAAGATTGAGTAGTGATCATTATATAGATGTTGTAATAAAAAAATAAATAATAAAAAGAAAATACCCGTTGAGATCTCAAAATATCTCTGTGTTAAAACTTAAACCATTATAATGGTTTTATCACAGACATCAAGATGTTTCTTGTAAAAGTTGTGGTGTACAAATTCTCTACACATTGGGAGCCATAAATACTACATTGGATAGTTTGTCAAAACTGGAAATATTATTGACCTTTGACCTTTTATATTTCATTCAACTATCTTTAATTAATAAAAAAGTAAATTGAGTAAAATGGATGGAAAAGTTTACAACAGCTGTTAGATGAGCTTTAGTTGCAAGCCGTAATTTTTTAAGAAATTATAAGTCTTTAAAACTGTCGTATAATCAAAAAATCAAAAATATATTTACTTGATGTATTTTTCGCTGCAATTGTTTTTGGACTACTCATTATTAAGTTTTCACCTTCCAAACATTTGAAGCAGGCGCTGTCCACGTCGTTACTGCTGTGGGCTGTATATTCAAAAAACCGTTTTCCGTCACCAAGAAATATTTCCGCTTTAAAATTGTCTCCAGAAAACATTTCCGCCAGATATGCACCACCCATGGAATTATTTGCAGCGTGAACTTCTTGGTACGTTGATATGTTGATTTTGTCTGGCGGAGGTAATTCAACGTTATTGTACTTCATTCGAATCAAATACAGTCTATAGCAACATATTGGGCCATTTCTTTCGCTTACACGAGGTATAAAGGCCTTAAATACACATTTGTTATTATTTACTCGAACCTTAGTCCAAATGACTCTACTAATTACGTCAGGCACAGACACTGGCATGGTACATGTACCTTCTGCAGACTCTCCAATTTTTCGATGTCGTGTTATTGCCGATATAGTAACAGTATAGTTTGTGTTTGAAACAACGCCATCATAACTGGTGTGGTGATGGGGTTCATCGATGCGTCTAATTTTTGGCCCCCAAGTTTCATTTTGCATTTTTCCATTTAGTCTATAAGCGGAAACCCCTTCTAAATGAATTTGATATGAGACGACTTTACCATTTGGTTTCTGGGGATACCGCCAACTAATATCAACAGTGTTTATTTTTGACATGTTATTGTGAATGCAAGTGACTGTGAGATCCAAAGGCTGTGATGAAACCCCATCCATTGTAGTTCCATTTACTATATCTGACCATGGTCCACACATCTTCGTTAAGTCACTGCATGCTCGTACCTTAAACTCATATTCTGTAGCAGTTTTTAAATTATCGAACATATACGGAAGATTTCGAGAATTTTGTTGATATACGGTTTCTTCAATTATTTTAGGCGTTTCTCCTGCCTCTGCCACAACTAATTCGTAGTATTGAACGTACGGAATCAAATCGATTGGGGGAGGGTCCCAACCAATTGTTATTGTGGATGCTGTGCTTCCTGTCGTTTTTACTTTAGGTATAAAAATTGGATCCTTTTCCAATGTTTGGACAGGCATTGGGTATTGGAATGGTGCACCACTACCAATGCTATTTTTTGCTGACATTCTCAGTACGTAACTAGTGTTTGGCAAAAAATTTTCCAAAACGTAAGAAGTGTTTCCCCCACCAATAACGTCCTTATAGTATGTTAAATCTGGATTGCCCTCTTGTAAAAACTGGATAAAGTACTTTTGAACGGGATCATTTCCATCATTAAGTGTCCAATTCAAATAAATCTTACTGGCACCAACAGCTTTTACATAGTCAATGCTAACTTTTGGCACATCCATAACCAGAAGGGCGATATTATTTCTTGTTACTTCATCCCCGTTAAGACCATATATGACGCACGAGTACGATCCATTTTCTTTTTTATAGACTTCTGTTAGTTCTAACGTGAAATTTACATACGTCTCGTTCACATGATCAATACTTGAAGACTGATCCAAGAAGCTAAATGCATTTTCATCCTTTAGCCACTTGAGTTGTTTTTTTAGTGTATGATTTTGTGGATAAATTTCGATTTCGCAATACAATTTCACAGGGTTTCCAATTTTTTGTTTAACTTTTTGTCCATTAGGAGTAACAATTTTGGTATTCAAGTATGGCTGGATGTATATTTTGCTGAGTAAACCAGTTTCCATAGACTCACAGGTGTAAATGCCTTCATCACTTATTCGAACTTCAGTTATGGTTAAGTAAAATTCATACATCTCTTGCATTTCTGATATATCGTTCGAATTATTTGTTTTGGATATGCCGCGGACAAATCTGAAAAAAGGAAGTTCGAGTGTTATTTCTTAAAAAATATATGTATGTATATATATGTATATTAATAAAAGAGTAAAACTTAACGATTCATCAACGCCCACACGAAACGGCTGAAGCTAGAAGCTTGAAATTTTGGAAGAGGTTGGTTCGAAGAGACGATGAGGGTCACTGATGGAGAGTATGATAGATATACTAAAGGGTTTTTGGAAATTCGCGCTAAAGGTGTACGAAAAGTACTAAATTCAACTACATTTAATACCATTTTGTAATATGTGAACGTTAAACCATAAAACTTGAAATTTGATTGGGTATCAAGGTAGAGGAGTAGAGTCGATCTAAGGAGATTGTTTTGGAAGTGTGTACTCATGTATACGTTTAGTATTAGTATATTAGTCTCGAAACTAGATATGGAAAACACCGTTGGTACATAGTTTTGAGTCCCAAAATTTGCAGTCTTTCTACAAGTTTTTTCATTTTTGCCAAAGAGAATATTAGTAAAATCATTGCAAAATCCAATTTTTCCGGCCAAGCTTTATCCTCTCCCTCAAGGGCCCAAGAATAGCCTAAATACAATTTTTTTGCCAAATCAGTTGATCAATCAATTGACGTATATATATATATATATATATATATATATATATATATATATATATATATATATATATATATATATATATATATATATATATATATACGTCAATTGATTGATCAACTGATTTGGCAAAAAAATTGTATTTAGGCTATTCTTGGGTAGAGAACCATCTTTTAGACAATTTTCCACGTATGCATTTATTTTATTTCTTACGCAATGGATGTCAAAGAGTAATTATCTTAAACTATTCTTAAATCATTTAGCCCTCAATTATGAGGTGGGCAAAACCAAATACCACACATCACGGTATTCCAAACGTTGGAAATACAAATTGCAAATTACAACTCATTTGAATGAAAATTTTGCAAAGCTCATTACAGACCAAAAATTGAGCAGAGTTTTTAAATTATAGATTTTTTTCTATATACGATTTTCTATATCATATAGGTTTTTAACACTCAAATTAAAGCCTATCGCCGAAAAATAAGATCAGGCTATTCAAAATATCTAAAACCAAAGTTAGGTGAACATCTATTTTCATTTTTACCATGAATATTTATTTCTATTTAGAAATTACTATGGAGTCATTACATATAATTAAAATTGTGCCGCTTACATAAGTCAGATTTTTGAATTCGAATATTAATACCAATTTATTTAATTGACTTGATTTCTTGAGAACTGAAATTGATGTCGGGTTACATGGAAGTGCAGTACCGAATTATGTGGTGGCGAAACGGAATAGATGATATCGAAATTATTTAACGCGGTCACACCAAAGTTAAAAGAAAAAAGAGATCTCATTGCAAAAATTCTCAAATCGGGAAAAATCGAAAAAAAATTCTATGGAATCGAATTTTAAAGTAATAGTACATTCTATGGACAAACTTTGTAAGGATCTTTTTCACCAAAAAAAATGAAATAAGAGCGAAATACGATGTTAACTGACATCTACCTTTCAACTCCCATTTGACCACTTGTTGGATAGGTATTTTCATAAGCTTTCGGGTCAAAAATCTGGTGTCCCGGGTCCGTCCCCCATGATAAAAATGGTTTCCCGGGATCAGTGTAAAAATACGTACCACTGGAAAAAATTTTGAAAAAATTGAAGAGTTAAGCCAAATTGTATATATACTACCTTGGGGTAGGAAACCATCATACAGATAATTGCCCCATAAACATTTATTTAAGTAAAGTCCCCATTGGAGTATCCCCAAGTTCACTTTCACATCTAATGTGTATATATATATATATATATATATATATATATATATATATATATTCGAATATTAATACCAATTTATTTCATTTAATTGATTTCTTGAGAACTGAATTTTTTTTTTTCGTTTTTTAAGTACTACCCAAAAAAGTTTAAATATGGCTAGAAGCAAATACTGTACATGAATAAAACAGCAAATTATGATTTCCCAGAAATATTTCATAAATATTTCTGTGATTTCTCGTATACTATGTGGGTTTTATGAAACTGGATCAGTAGTAACAGTCTATAATAGATGAAGGCCGTGAAAACTTCAGCCCGTTCTGATCAACAAATTGTGAGAGAAAAAAAAACACCCATTTAAGATTACAACTGAATTGTTTCCAAGCGTTGATGCATCCATGGTTCAATGAAGACAACGTAGGTTAAAGGTGAAAGTACGTAAAAAGCTTTTTTGGCTGGCTTAAGTCATCGTATGGCTTCTTCGCAGAGGAACAAAGGAGTTTTAGGTTGACTTAGTTCGATTTCGGCCCTATACTTCTTTGTTCTTTGCCGAAGAAGCCAGCCAGCTTAAGCCAATCAGAAAAGCGTTTCATGTATTCTCACCTTCCCTTTGAAAAAATTTCAAGTGCAAAGGTCTACCTGTTTGGCTTGAAATATCAGAATTACTATCAAAACAATCAAACTTTTTTTAATACTGGTACGTCGTAATATTATGGAGTGGGCCGATATTGTCCATTTTCGCACCTGACCTAGCACTGACGCAAATATTAGGATTTGCAAAGTTAGATCAAAATCGGATTATCGTTTCGCTTTCTATGCAGAAAATATTTTTTTGAAAATTGATATCTTTTGTGGGGGAGGTACCAGAAGGAGTGGACTGATATATTCCATCTTAATTAATTTTTGTTTTTTTTTTTTTTTTTTTTTTTTTTTTTTTGAAAATTTTCGATTATTAAAAATATTCGATTATTTAAAAATATGTTCGATTATTTAAAAATATGTTGGCTTCTGTTTTGATCATTCAAATTGTTGACCGTCTATGGCGTAGGTTCCGAAGGAATAGCCCAATATTGACCATTTCGTATCGGACCTAAATAAATATGATATAAATACTGCGACATGTCAGTTTTGGACTATATTGGTTACTTCCTTCCCTTATATGAGGTATGTTATCATTTTTAAAAAATGTTAAAACGTGTGAGTTGGAAGGTAGAGTCGACTAAAGTTACCATTTTCATACTTCATCTAATACAGATGGTATTGGAAAAATTATATGAAAATTCAACATTCATATCCAATCTTATGCGAAATCATAAATTCCACATTCATCTTAGGTTTCTTGTTGAGAGAAACATTTAGATAAGTTATAAGAAATCGGTGTATTGTTTCGCAAGTTTTGAGATATAAAAGCATTGAAAATGTTGAACCTTTGTGGGTGAAGTACCACGCGTTTTATAAGCTTCATGGATATTCAAAATGTTGAGCCCCTGTGGGGGAGATACCAGAAGGAGTGCATCGATACATCCCATCTTTACAACAGATATTGTGTTAATAGAAATAATGGGATGTGTGAAATTTGAGACAATCGGACTCTTATATCACATTTTATAAGAGTTTTAATTTTTCAAAATGTTGACCCTTTGTGGGGAGGTACTTGATGGAGTGGGCCGATATTGTCCATTTTCGCACCTGACCTAGCACTGACGCAAATATTAGGATTTGCAAAGTTAGATCAAAATCGGATTATCGTTTCGCTTTCTATGCAGAAAATATTTTTTTGAAAATTGATATCTTTTGTGGGGGAGGTACCAGAAGGAGTGGACCGATATTGCTCATCTCCGAACTCGATCTAAGTTTGACAAAAATATTACGATGTACCAAGTTTGGATCAAATAGGATAATCCCGATTGTAGGCCCTTAGAAATTAACTTTTAGAGTCATTTCAAGGAGTGCCCGTAATTGTTGATAACTCATCCAGTTCAATTGCTTATAGTAACCCTTCAACTTCTACCGACAAACTCTTATAAGCAAACGTTATCTTCTCTACCTTCTACGGAACCGTTGAATGAAACTACTGTTACTGCAGAACCGAACAATCCTCCTATTTTAATCAAGCCTCCATCGGTTAAAGAAACAAAATCTGTTCCTGCAGATAAAGATAAAAATATAACGTTTTTAATTATCTGTCTGTTTTTGCAGATGCTTCCGATATTAATAATATGTCTGTTTCAGCAGACGTTAACAACGGAATTCCTATGCCTATCGGTATTAATGAAAAGCAGACTTTTCTACAGACTACAGACATTAATAACGTAACCCCTATGCCTTTGCTTGCTGATCAACGTACTTGTTGTTGGGCCGCGTAAAACTATATTTGTAGCCCGATTACATCCAGATACCACGGTTGATAACATTCGATCGTAGCTAAAAACAAAATTGCAGAACATGCCTGAAAATGACACAAAAATCTTTAAATTGAATAAGTCCCAACCCCCGTGATATTTCATCTTTTAAAATTGTTAACCGAAATTTCTGGCCTGAAGGATTGTTAGTAGGTGAATTTGTATTTAGGGAACGAACAACCCCCGTTCATTTTCCGGTTAGTCTTTCAGTTTTACCTTTGTCAAAAAACTAACTAAATCATTATCCCGTCTCTATCGAAACGTGAGAGGTCTTAATAGTGCGATTCCAAAATGTTGGTCTTCAGAGAGACATGGATTTAACTTTTAAAATTAAAAAAATATGGGATTTAACTTTTTCTTCAATTGTAACATCTTCTGTGTGTAGTACTTCCTTCTCCGAGCCAGAGGAGCCACTTTTATGATTATCATTGACCTTAGTAATATCCAAAATCTACATACTGCATTTCAACCTAAATCTCGTAAGCAATACTTTGGCAAGACTAACGTTGATCGGCTGCGTTCTATATTAGCCAATATAAATTGTGTTTTTGACATTAATTTTCGTAACTCAAACTCTTATAAAATAGTGAACAATGCATTAGAAACCACAGTCCCACTCGTAAAATTGTGCTGTGATATGAGTCCAGCCTGGTTTACGCCACAACTTGAACGCTTACGTTACATAAAAAGCAGATAATGAAAAAAAATTTAATTATATAAATATTAAACTCTACTATAATAATTTTACAAAAGCTGAAAATACATACAACACTGAAAATTCTAA